TGACCTAATAAACACATACACGAAGTTTGAACATTCTAGCTCAATTAGGAAGAAAGTTATTGTGTCCCAAAAAGTGTGACGGACAGACAGACGGACAGACAGAAGGACAGACAGACGGACAGACAGACAGACAGACAGACGGACGAACCCATTTTAATAGTCCCCTGCTTTCTTCGAAAGGCGGGGGACAATAAACTTGCAGATAAATGGGAGAATGGTTGTTATACAGTTATTTCACAACCAGATGTTAAAATTCCAGTTTTTGTAGTTCAGAAGGCTGACACTTCATTAAGACGTACTCTACACAGAAATCTTCTACTTCCGATAAGTTCTTCTGGTCGACCTATTCCTGCCCCACGATTAAATGTTCCACTTCCACGTGTTCGTTCTTCACCTGATGTTAGTATTCCTGATTTTCCCATTTCTCAACCTCACACGATTGATAACGATAATAATTCAAATGTTAATATTTCATCCAATTCTTCTGTTAGTGTTACCAACGTGTTACCTGATATTTCTGTTCCGGATATTATTATTCCTCATATTACTGTTCCAGATATTCCTGATATGACCGTTCCTAATATTACTGTTACTGATAATTCTGATGATTCAATTTCTCCACCTGATCCTGATATTTCCTCTGATGATATTTCACAACCAGTTCTAGCTCCTAAACGACAACGTAAACCACCTACTTGGATGAAATCTGATGCTTGGGTTTTAGAGAATACTGTTTGGCTTTGATTTATATTAGTTGTATCTACTGGTATTTTAATAACGATTTTTTTTTTTTTTTAATTTTTGCATTATTAGTTAGATTATAAATTCCATTATCAGTTGCTTACAGTTTTACTTGATGACGACTTGGTTTTGTTTATGGATTATGGTTTGGGTATGTGGATTGGTTCATTATTTTTGTATTATATATGTATATTGTTGTTTTTATTATGGTGTGCTGTAGACTGTTTAGGGTTGTTCGTGTCGGGACGCCACTTCTTGTGCTGGGGGGATAGTGTAGTAGGGTGGTATCTTCTCTTTAAGTATTTGGTGTGATATTCTCTTTAAGTATTTTATCCAGTTCTATTGTCCTGTATATCCAGTAAGTTTTGTTTTTCCAGTTGGTATAATTAGTTTAGTTTATAGTTTAAACATGTTATTTTAACATGGTGAGTAGTATTCTGTTACTTAGATACTGTCCTAACATCATGTTTCACCTTTAGGCACTTTTTCTTAGATCTCCATCTTGAAGGCAACAATTTCTTTCCACAGCACTGCATTTATATAATTCGGTGTTTCTCTCTTTTGTACCTGTATATGGTTTCCTTATACATTATTAGTTCTAATTCTTCATTTCTTAAGAGCACCTTTATCAGGTGCTCTTCTTCTTGTCTTCTACTTGTTCTTCTTTCTGTAAATAATTGGCTGTTTTGTTCCTGTGTATTGTAAATAAACTGTATAGCTGTGTTCCTGTCTTTGTCTCTTTTCGTTCAACCCGCGACCTGGAAAGGGGATAGTCCGTTGTCCATCGATCCTGCTACATAAGATAAAAGATCATTTACCTTACGAGACAGGAATTTTGTTTTATAACAGTTACATACTACCAATATTTGATTATTGCTCTATTATTTGGGGAAATGCTACCAAAAGTAGATTAGACATTCTTTTAAAATTACAAAAGAGGGCAACAAGAACTATTCTTGATGCACCGATTGAAACTCCGTCCACCTCTTTATTTACTAAACTCGGTTGGCTTACCCTTACACAGAGGATTCTTTACAATAAAATTGTCTTAGCATTCAAAATTATTACATTTAATACTCCACTTAATCTAAATTTCTATTTTATTGAAAAATCTCTTGTTTCCAAAACGGATATCTTGCTCCGTTCACAGACCAGTAAATCTCTTTTTCTTCAAAATTGCAAAATGGAATCCATGAAACGTACTTTTCATTATTCTGCATGTCTTTTATGGAACAATCTGCCTTTTGATATAAAGATGTGTAAAAATGTTGAAAATTTTAAGATTAAACTGAAAAGTCATTTATTTTGCACACTGAAGGAACCATAATATTCAACTGATGACATACTTATTATTTTTAACTTGCAACTGCATTCTATTTTATTTTGTGTGTAATTATAGTGTTCTTCCTATTTTCTACTTGTATAATGTATATGTTTTGAAGTTTGGGAGTGACTTATCAAACTTCCCACTTTAAAATGCTATTGCATTTCTAATGATTTTAAATTTATCCTGATATTACATGTATATATCTCTATGTAGCTTAGGAGGGACCTATGGAAGATTAGTTTTTTTGCAAACTAAATACGTTGCCTCATTAAATAAAGTTATTATTATTATTATTATAGTATCATGTATAGGGTTTTCGTAGCCACTGAATTTAAAATTGAATTATTTATTGGAATTTTCGATGAAACGGAAAGGTTTGTTCCGCACAGGTATTAGCTTAGAAGGGACAAATACAATTTGTAGAACCAGATATTTGATGTTAGTGAACCCATTTTTCTAGGACACCTGTTTCACACGAAATCTTATTTTCTATCCAGACGAACCTTCAGTATAATAATCTATATGCATACAAAGTTTATGAAAATACACATTCAAGCAGCATTTAATATGGTCTACCACCTGTAGGACACTCCCTTCAACTTAAAAATAAATTGTTTATTGGAATTTTCGATTAAACGTAAACTTTCTGTAAAATGTAAAATACTCGACTAATATACCAGTTGTAACATGTTTAACATCATATCTTTCCACGCGAATTAACAATAAATTGTTCATTCGATAATACGGAAACATTTTTTATACTTGTAAAATAAATACCTATTGTGTATATGATACGTTGAAGTCTACCATGTAATATGGAAATTTGCAACACGTTTATAAGCACCATATCTTTCTACATGAACTAACAATAAATTGTCCATTGGATAAGAAGGAGACATTTTTTTTATATATATAACTGTAAAATAATATATGAATTATCGTTTTAACATCATATCTTTTGCCTCCCTTTTCAGGGATGGACACTCAAAAGGAGTATGGTAGTTTCGGGGGTCCCTAAACTAGTCAATGTTCTCGCGTAGTTATGAATTTATGTCGTTTTTGATGAATTATTAAGATATATGCATAAGCTAAAAACACCAGGATATACTCTAGAAAGTACCATTTAAATTACAGTCAGTTTTTTCAAAAGAAATTTCGAGTCTGGTTGTAGAGAACCCTGTCGTTCACCTCACGGAGCAAAGATAAGCCTGTCCTATCCTAGGTATCATATGTGTAATTTTATGTCAACTTCACAATTGTTAGTATAAATATAACATTTACTTGACAATTATCACAATTTTCATCTGGCCTTAAAATATTTTAATTGGATTTGTGTTCCTGGTGTTATAAGCTTTCCAAATATGTATAGTTTGTTTAATAGGGAGGACCTTGTAGCGGAACTGTGTTTCTAAGCAAGCTAAAAATTTTGGTTGCAGGCCTACTAGACTATACCATTTCTGAACGAATAAGAGATCTTAAATTCTTAACAACTGGATATATCATAAATAATTCTCAATACGGCTTAAAATGGTGCAAAGGCATAGTAGATGAAATTAAAATGACTCACTATTTTGGTGAAATGTCTTGTGATCTGTCAGATCCAAAATAATCAATTCCATATTATGCCCCATTGTATTGTTTATGGGGTGTGTGTGTGTGGGGGGGGGGGTCGCATAGGATGTATCATTTTCAGCATTATTTTTGAGTTTTTATTCATGTTCAGTGACTCTGAAAACCTTATAAAAGAGACATTATAAGCTATATAAAACAGTCATTCATGTTATGGAAATTCTGACCGCCATTTTGAATTTTCCCCATCTTGGATTTTTAAAACTCTTTGTTTAGATTAAACAAACATTGTGCAAGAGCTAAATCTGCCTATTGCAGGTCTTTCTTTAGGCCTGAAATGTTTTCTAAATTATTATTTAGACATTAATTAACTGACCCAGGCCATAATCAACTCTCGATGGCATCGGATTTCTCCGATATTAAATAAATTAGAACGTATCAGTCATATTTTGATTTAATCTAAAAATGGAGGAGCGAGACTTAGCTTCGAGCAACCAGTACAGTTGTTGAAATTATTGCACGTGTCTTGTCAAACCTTCAAAGGCTAATATCTTCGCTTGCAATAGAGTAATTTGAATGAAATTGTCAAATTATTCATTTTACATTATCTATTTTTGAACTATTGTAGCATTCATGTTCAGTGACTCTGAAAACCTTATAAAAGAGACATTATAAGCTATATAAAACAGTCATTCATGTTATGGAAATTCTGACCGCCATTTTGAATTTTCCCCATCTTGGATTTTTAAAACTCTTTGTTTAGATTAAACAAACATTGTGCAAGAGCTAAATCTGCCTATTGCAGGTCTTTCTTTAGGCCTGAAATGTTTTCTAAATTATTATTTAGACATTAATTAACTGACCCAGGCCATAATCAACTCTCGATGGCATCGGATTTCTCCGATATTAAATAAATTAGAACGTATCAGTCATATTTTGATTTAATCTAAAAATGGAGGAGCGAGACTTAGCTTCGAGCAACCAGTACAGTTGTTGAAATTATTGCACGTGTCTTGTCAAACCTTCAAAGGCTAATATCTTCGCTTGCAATAGAGTAATTTGAATGAAATTGTCAAATTATTCATTTTACATTATCTATTTTTGAACTATTGTAGCAAGAATGGCTAGCTCTTTATCTAAATCTTACGTAATGAATCTTTAATTGTAAGCTCATTGGATAGTACATGTCATATCAAACAATGAAATGACTATTATCTGACATATTGGCCATTTTAGGAAATTTGAGATTATTTTTTATGCTTAATGTTTCTGATATCTATTCAATCACTTAAGTTGACCAAACAGATAATTTGGCTTATGTGGGTAAACATACGAACAGACATGAAAAAAAAAATCAAAAATGTTGCTTTTTTCAGATTAATCTTTTATTTTAAAACTGATAGTATTGATTAAACAACATATATCATATACCAGCAGATGCAGAATTATATTATGAACATTTTGAGATATATTACATATCCATATAGGTGAAACTGTTGAGGAGTTATGAAGGCTTCCCCGACTCGCACTATTTCAAATAAGAAAAAAAAACGGCGGCCATTTTTTTTAAAGATGGCCGCCAAACTGACATTTGGCAAAGTGACCCGGAAGTCCATCAACCTATTTTGGACACTTTAGACCTAAGGCTAACTGAAAATCATAGTTAAACCAATTCATCAAATTGGTAATGAATATCTGCCTGTCACATGGACTAAAGCCAGAACAAGGATATTCACGACACTATAACAGAAAATCAGCCTAGCACTCAATAAAATTTTACTCACCTTGACACTTTGGATGGCACTTTTATGATGATTAGGGGGGGGGGGGGGCATAACTCTAGACGTATTAATAAACGAAAATTGCCGAAATTCAATAGGATTTTTCGGTTCAGTAATCTAAATAATGCATACAAATTTCAGAAAGATCGGATGATAACTTTTGGTTCAATAAAGTGAAACAAGGGCCATAACTCTAGACGTAATAAACGGAAATTGCCGAAATTCAATAGGCTTCTTCGTTTCAGTAATCTAAATAATGCATATAAACTTCAGACAGATCGGATGATAACTTTTGGTGTTCACAGGCTTCAATAAAGTGAAACAAGGGCCATAACTCTAGACGTAATAAACGGAAATTGCTGAAATTCAATAGGCTTCTTCGTTTCACTAATTTAAATTTCACAAAGATCGTATGTTAACTTTTGGCATTAGAGCGTTCACAAGGTTCAACAAAGTGAAACAAGGGCCATAATAAACAGAAATTATTGGAATTAAATAGGTCTCTTCATCTCACTAATGTAAACAACATATATCAATTTTAAAACAATTGAATGATAACTTTTGGCGTTAGAGCGTTCACAAGAAATTGTGGACGATCGACAGACGGACGGACGGGGGCGACGGCAATATATGTCCACATTTCAATGTGGGCGTATAAAAATGAATTAAATACTAGTATTACAATACTCATGTAGTAGGGTGTTATATTCTCTTTAACTATTTTAGTAGGGTGTTATATATATTCTGTTTAAAGATTTTAGTCAGTTTCCATTGTCCTGTGTATCCAGCTAGCCTTGTATTTCCAGTGGTTTTAATTACTTTAGTTTATAGTTTAAAGATGCTATTGTAAGATAGTGAGTAGATTTAAGCATCTTGGAAACCTGCTTTGTTTATCCTAGTTACTAACTTCACTCTTTTATTTTCTGGTCACCTGTCAACATCTGTACTTAATTACAGCACAATTAATCATTTATTTCAAGGTAGGTTTAATATTTGTTTGACTGGACTAGACATTTTAAACTATATAAGTAATTCTAAACTAGTAAATTAATTATTAGCAAATTAATATATATATACTATTCAAAAAAAGTAGGGGATATTTGATTTTGGGGTCATAATACTAAAATATGCAAATGACTACGAAAAAAGTCACTATAGAACCTAACAGAAGAAACATTTCCAGTTACATGTGACGCCCAAACGCACCAATAGCTACCGCATGGAATGCAGGTGATGCTTGGGATCATCATGGGGGTCCAACCCAAGATTTGCACGACTCTGACTTTGAATGTTACAGTCATTGTGGCATTGAATTCCAGGGTGGAAACATCAGTTTAATTGTTTTAGTGACCAGAAAACAAATTTTGATATGCGTCGGCTTACCCAAAATGAAAGGCTACGTGCCCTTGGCATGCTACAGTCCGGCACAACACAGGCGGTTGTGGCGCGGACGATGAATGTTTCTCAGTCTGTCATAAGCAGGCTATGGTCCAGATACCGTGATACACAATCTGTACAGGAGACAGACCACGCTCAGGTCGACCAAGGGCGACAACTCAAGCCCAGGATCGATTTATCCGTACCTTGGCCTTGAGAAATCGTGTCATCACAGCAAATCAGATCAGCGCTCGTCTTCAAACAGACACTGGTGTGAGAGTGAGTGGCCGTACGATTCGGAATCGACTGCATAGGGGTCACCTTCGCGCCCGACGTCCTCGCGTGATCCCTTGTTTGAGAGATCATCACATTCAGGCAAGACGTCGTTGGTGTAGGGATCGTCAACACTGGGATAATCGACGCTGGAGCAATGTGATGTTTTCAGATGAGTCAAGGTTCACTGTTGATTTTTTGGACAGACGTAGGAGGGTGTGGCGTCGTCGAAACGAGCGCTTCCAAGACGTGGTGTGGGGAGGCATCACTGTTGCTGGAAGAACGGCTTTACATGTTGTTGCAGGGCGTGTTACAGGCCAGTACTACCGGGACAACATCTTGGCAGTCCATGTTGTGCCGTTCGCACGACGTCATGGCCGCCGTTTCATCTTCCAGGATGACAACGCAAGATTTCACAGGGCCAGGATCGTTACAGGTTACCTCCAACAACAGAACATCACCACATTACCTTGGCCAGCACTGAGTCCCGACCTCTCCCCCATCGAGCATGTCTGGGACATGCTTGGACAGAGGTTACGTCAACGTCAACAACGTCCTGCCAATGTCCAAGAACTTGCTGCTGCGTTGCAACAGGAATGGGACAATCTGGACCAAAATGACCTTAGACGTCTCATTAGGAGTATGCCACGTCGGATCAATGCTTGTTTGGCAAACAGAGGAGGATTTACCCGTTACTGACTTGGTTGTGATGCTATGGTAACTTTGCTGTTTGACCCCGGGTATCATTTTACCCTTATAATGGTCAGTCTGTGCCTTACTTAGTCTAACGATCATTTGGAATAAATCGATGAATGTGAACTTCATTTCATTTTGTCATTTGTTTCTTCGCCAGTTTCATTAGGTGACTTTAATAACACTTAAAAATCAAATATCCCCTACTTTTTTTGAATAGTATATATAGAAACTAGGTAACTTTATATTTCATAAGTAAACATTGATTAAATATAGTATCCCCTGTGTAATGTCTTGTTAATTGTTTTATTGTGTTGTCTATAAAGTTTACAACTCTATGGTCACATTTATTTTCCTGGAAAACACCTGTCTTAGGGTATGTTAGTTTGATATCTATATTTATATCTTTGTCATAACAGATTAAATGTAAATAGATATTTTAATACATATAATATAGTACTTATATTATAACTTGCCTCCTGATCTATTAGTAATTAATAGAATATATACATCATTTAATAATTCACTTGTGTAAATAATCATTTATCTTTTCAGTGTTTTTTGTTGTTCTGTAAAGTATATATATTGTCCCGTAATAAACTGTTGTTGTTAACTTGTCTCAACCCCGACCTGGAGTCGATCATGCGATCCTCCTGCTACACTCACAATATTTTTTAAATTTTTTTTGAAGGTATCCTCCTCCTCTTCCTTTTTACACAATTCTTGGAGTTCCTTAATACTTTCACACAGCTTCTCCAACCCCTCAAAATCATGGTCTGGCACCTTCGATGCGTAAAGTTTTCAAACATCTGGTTGGTTTGTGCCATTTCTCTTAGGGTCTCAATCTTCATTAATATATTCAACTGAAAATCTGTAAAATTCAAAATGAAATAAATAAAGTATAGCTAAATGATGAATATCATGATAGAGAATGCTAGCTGACCTTAAGCTTGTATTAATTCATGATGCTTAAATGGTGCAGACATTGTATTATTTGGTAAAAGACCTTTATCGTCGGTGTTGGGAGTCTTATCCGTTTGGTTGTGGTTGAAGGCATTTCCATTTGCATTTAGGGTTGAGGTTGGATGTTCTGGGGCTTCTTACAATTATAATGCCGGGTTGCTATAATTTTGATTATTAATAGAAGGGGCAAGTTAATCTCAAAAGCGGAGTGACCCCAAACAAATTGCAAAAGAAACCAACGCAGTTTCGTTCAATCATACTTATATTAGACAGTATCATAATTAAATTTGGCCTAAGTCTGCCAAGGCGAATTGGTGGGATTAACATAATTCAATAAGACAGTTTCTGAGAGTGATATCCATTAACTAGTGCGTTTTAGTGGTGGATCAATAAATATATTTTTGTTAAAATCTTACCATACCAAGTGGTAATCGAGGCGAAATGTTCCAAATATAACAAATTTGACCAAACGAAATGAAATGTTTAATGGCACGTCAGCTCCAACCGGGCTATATTGCGCCAAACATATGGTGAATTTAACGAGACAAATTAAAACAATATCACAGGGATGTATTCATATATGTATATAAAAACAAAATATCACAGAAAATATAATTAAAAAGAAATATATCAATTCCTTTACATATATAAATGTTTAATACGCAATATATGATAAATATATTTAATCAAAAATTTGAATAAAAGTTTGTCTCTTAAAAATGCTAGCAATTTATCATGTAACTCTGGTTGAGTTCGACCAAACAAATTTTAAAAAAAGTTACTTTTCACATAGTACCGTCCATTTTTCAAAATGGCTGCCAAATTTGGTAATAAAATGGCATTGTTCCCGTATATAACCATTACTTTAAGATATTTATGATGTCTCTGCATTAAAAATGAATTTTGAAAATCCAACATGGTGGAAATTCAAAATGGAATCCAAAATGCCTCATTTTAAGTTAGTCATTATTTTTTTGTCCTGAATTGTAACATGTCTTTCACTTCATTTGGTTGAATTTTGATCCCAAAAACTTAATTTCGAAATCCAAAATTGCTGATAAAATACAGTCCAAAATGGCGGATTTTTAATTAATCGTCATTTTCTTCCGTTGGATATGACCTGTAATATGTCTTATATAAGGTTTTTGGGGTTACTGAGTTCAATTCTGACTCCTAAAACTAACTTTGAATAGCCCAGATGGTATAAATTTAAAAGACAATCAAAATATAATCCATAATGGGGATTTTTGCGATGTGGATATTGCTTTTAAAATATATCTAATAAGGTTTTCGGTCTTAGTAATTCCAGGGATGGGCTGAAAAGGAGTATGGTAGTTTCAAGAGTCTCTAAACTAGTTAATGTTATTCATTGCATAGTTTAGGGCCCCCTGTTAATCATGAATTTACGTTGTTAATGCCACACGTTAAATATGTGCATAAGCTAGAAACACCAATCAAAAACATTTTGCGCCCAGTTGGAGAGACCCCCCTCCCTTTAACAGAGTAAGGATTGGGGCCCCCTAGCCCGCCCCTTAGTATCTTATAGACCGATTGTAATCACAGGTTCATTTAAGAGAATACGCATTTAAGGGAAATAAACCGCTAGTTTTTGGTACCTAGAAATGGACACAAATGAATAAATGGGTCATAACGCATATAATAATGTAATATGAATGTATATAAACTGATTTACATTCAATCGTTTCTGTTTTTACAGTAATTTCTAATTGGTTATGTTCGGCGAAATACACAGAGTCCGATTGAATGGCAGTCTTTGTTAATTTGTAACACGTTTAACACCATATCTCTCTACGTGAATAATCAATAAACTGTTCATAAGATAAAACAGAACAATTTTCTATACCTGTAAAATAATATACCAATTTTATATCTTTCTACACGGCCTAACAATAAATTGTTCAATAGCTGAAACGGAAACTTTTTTTTTATAACTGTAAAATAATATACGGCGTATTTTACTGATAATGAAGGTAATCAAGTAATGCTGGAAATTGCAACATGTTTCAACCCACTATCTTTCCAATGCCTTTTCAGGGATGGACTGAAAAGTATGTTTGTTCCAGAGGTCCCTAAACTAGTCAATGCTCTTGCGTATTTATGAATTAATGTCGTTTTTGATGAATTTTTAAGATATATGTATACGCTAAAAACACCAGGATATACTAGTCTAGAAAGCACCATTTACAGTTGGTTTATTAAAAAAAAATATGAGTCTCATTTGAAAGAACCCCGTCCCTTTTATCATATGTATTGTCAAGTGTCCATTGCTGGCAAAAAACAGTATTACCCTGGCAATTGTACGAACTTGTGAAATAAGTAACAGACAGAAATGAACTCGTGTTTACTATTGGTTTAGATGATACCAGAGACGGCCGAGGGGTTCCCGCTCTATGGGGGTCCGGTGTGGTTCTCTCCTCCCCCGGTGCAAAATTTTTTTTTGAACAAATGACTGTAAATATTGGTTTTCTATAGTATGTCTTGGTGCTTGTAGCTTACGCAAAAATTTGATGTGCGACAGTCTTTTCGGAAATTAATTTTTGAACCCAATATTGATTTAAGTAATCTTGAAATACTATATTGTTTGGATGGCCAACTGGTTAGCGTGTGCGCTTTCAATCGCGAGGTCTGTCATTTAGTCAACTGGCATGGTTTCGATTCCCTGGTTGTACGTGACAAGGAGTAGGTTCTCCCTTCCAAACTTGTGGGTTTTCTCCCGTTTTCTCCCACTGCAAAAGACCCCTATTGAAATAAAATTGAACCATATGTTAGTCTCGAAATCACCTAATTTGTGTCGAGTGGACGTTAAAACCCCATCTCGCTCTCTTAAAGGGCTCATTAGATGGGCGAAAAAAACTTTTGGGTTATTATATTCTAACGTATATTGAGATATTTTTTCGTATTTCATTTTTACGGTCTATTTCAGAGCAAGAAAGGCGCCGTACAATGGCTATAGGAAAACGAGATACAGTTGGCTACTCTGATAACGGATCGTCATTTACAAATTGTGTTTCAATCATGTTTGACTTATGGCTACAGTAAAACGAGATACAGTTGGCTACTCTGATAACGGATGTCATTTACAAATCATATTTGACTTTTATGATACATTTTGCATGACCTCATGTACGTTTTTAATCAGGGAAATTAGAACCACACTACTCTTCTGATGAAAATGTATCTCGAATAGAGAAAGAGAGAGAAATGGGGTTTAAAACATTTCGGAACTAACACATCGTTCAATTTTATTTCAATAATTTGATTGCACGTAGGTGTCTTTAGCAGTGCCGTAAAGAGGATATAGTAACCATTGCCTATACGTACCGAAAAGTTTTTTTGTTCAACTTATGTGCAGTTTAACACTTTTAGAGGTACTTATCTTTTTTTTAAAACCAGTTTTCGTGGATCACCAACCATCTCGGACACAATATCAATATCCAAAATAGCTAAGTTACTGGAATAATATCTGACCAATCAACAGACTGATATTAATTCTAGAGACGGTGGTAATGATATAATACTACAATGGGTATGTTACCATAATACTTTATCTACAGTACAATATCTAGTTGATAATTTACATGCCAAGATTAAATATGGTAAATCAGACTGATATTAACGCTAGAGACAGTGATAATGATACAATACTACACCGTGATACTTTATCTACAGTACAATATCTAGTTGATAATTTACATCTAGATGTACATTCTAAGAATAAATATGGTATAACAGTTCTAGATTATTGTATGGAATAAATCAGAAGAAAAGATATTTATTGTTTATTTTGTTGTTTAATTTATTTAATAGGTCTACATTATTTTGTTATATCTATTTATTTTTAATAAATAATATTGACAAAAACTTGTGTTCTTTTTTTATTTTATACGTCCACATTCATTATGTGAACTATTATGCCTCCGAGCCTCTCTGGGTGTGTGAAAAGCACTCACACAGTACCAAACTTGGCACTAAAGGGATAAATTCACATTTTCTAAGAATGTGAAAAGGGGATTATTTAACAAATGCTAAGTATTTACTATTGCCTGTTACTTTGAGCATTAGGAAACCACAACGCATAGGCATAGTGTCAATACCACAGTCTAACTCAACATCAATTATCACAGTTCAGTTAAACTCATAGTCAAGAAATGCAATCAGATGGTAGCAAGCTGTCGAAATCCACCTGGCAGAAATTTAATAGGCTTCTTTGTTTCATTGATTTAAAGGGGTGTGTTCCTACTATGCCGGCAGACTGTTAATCCTTTAATTGATCTTAAAACTATACTTAGTTTAAAAGTAGAACTGTTCACTAGTGTTCAGCGTTAATGAGCTCTTAAATCCCTCTTAATAAAATTTATTAACCAACTAATTAATGACATTTTGAATACAGTTCATGCAGGTATTATGCATGATGTTAAGAAATATCGACAACTTGATACAATTATTGACCATTTGTCACGTACAACCAGGGATTCGAAACCACGCCAGTTGACTCAATGACAGACTTTATGATACAGCGCGCGCACGCTAACCATTCAGCCATCCAACCCCCCTACATAAATAATAAAAGATAGGTTGCCAGGCAAAGAAGTATCACAGTTAACACTATTAAAATTATATAATATTATATTAAAATTATATTATATTATTTTATGTATATCAAATATTTAAAAAATAAAATATCGAAAAACAGTTTATGTACAAATTAAAACTTTCTATAAAAATGTGTCTTCTTTAAAAAAATCTAACGCTTTACAATATAGACCCAGTTGGGCAAATGTTTAGGTAAAGTATTGTTCTTATTCTTTGTGTGACGAAGAGGACAAAAGGGTGACCTTGATCGGATGAAGAGCTATTGAACGTTAGAGGAATCGTTTTTTGGCACGA